TAATCAAATTCTACCCATTAACTTGTTGATTGATCGAAAGCAAAGGGTCCTTCATTTCCGCAGGGGACGTCACCAATATTTCTATTTCCGAAAGAACTACAGGTTTTGAGATACTTGCTTTTGTTTGCAAATCTCTTTTTAAAGTGTTCCAACACAATCTCGATATAAGAAAGCTTGACACCACTGTGCTTGGGTGTGGGTTGTCTGAAAGGCAGTATTCTCCAGAATTTACAAAATGTGTACATCTTGAAATGAATTGCGCTTTGTGATCGGGACGCCCAGGTTCGATTCTCGTTCGCCGCGCCGCGTTCAACATAGGACGTAAACATAGGTAGTGACTGTTCCCTCGCCAAACGCCCGGCATTAGAAGTGAAAGTCACGGGTCTTTCGGATGAGACCTTTTAAAACCGAGGTCCTGTGTCACGGTAGACGATGGCACGATAAAGAACCCTCACTGCTTAATGGCCCTAAGTGCCTAGTATATGTCTAAATTTGAGCCCTTCACCTGTATATAGTGACTTCTCTATATGAGTGAAAAATTCTCGAATGGAACGTTAAACAACAATCAATCTGAAATGAATTGATATTCTGTCATATTTAAAAACATTAAATGTGTAGGGTTTCAGAATTATGGCGTCTAAGAAGATAAATACGTACTTGTAAGTAGCAGTAATTTTGTTTTTCATGAAAAGTGAACGTAAAAATTTTACATACCCCCCCCCCCCCTTCTCCAATACAAAACTAAGATCAAATTCAAGGTCACAAGTTCATCAAGCTTTATACTGTATAGTGAAGTACAAAATTTGGTTTGAAAGAAGGTCAAGTAAAGGTTACAACGTCCAATAAAGGTAATACTTATTGAAAATTCTTAATATACTGTATGATGTAATGCAATATTTCTTTGCTTAACATGATTTATAAAATCAGTTTATATGTTTAATTTTCAAAGATTTTGTGTGGCATTGATAGACGCTTGTACATACTATAGCTGTTTCTTTGAAGTTTCTAAGTATTTTACAGATTGCAAAAAGCCAAAGACATGTAATTATCACGGTCAGTAAGTTTTGACGAATGTTTTTCGTCTTTCTCCTTCCCTCAAAACTTACTTTAATTTCAGCATAAACACAAGTGACAAATCATCAAATTACATCTCTGATACAAGGTTAAAAGAAATAGATCAGGCCTTACATTAATTAATGACATCTGTGATACAAGGTTAAAAGAAATAGATCAGGCCTTACATTAATTAATGACATCGTGATACAAGGTTAAAAGAAATTAATCAGGCCTTACATTAATGGATTGTAGATTAATCATATTCTTTGTTAGGCAGATGTCGAAATTGACGACTTGGTCAAAAGCAATTGAAAACGTTTACATCACTTCATCTTTCTGGATACTAATCACTTTTCAAGTAAACAAATTACAAGTCAAACTAAGATTAATCTTAAATATACTTGGAATTAATGGATAAACGATTAGTGCGAATATTGTACGTTTTACGAATGTTTATAAGCGATGGTGGTTAGCTGATAATTCAATTATATTTCATTTTAGTATGGAATAATCACTTATTTTACAGTGTTATATACAAGGTAACTTAAATTTCTGACCAAAAAACGGTGTATATTGAGACTTTTCAGCAGTCATAGCAGATTGACCATCCTTCGTTTATATAGATTTGATTAGAATGAATTTAAACAGTTAGAATTGATTTAATTAAATTGCACATAATTATATTAAGCACCTACGCATATTACCTAATTCCAAAGCTGGAGTTAATACTACACATTACGTAGCTATATATAGATACGGCTTCAATTCTGGACTACTATTTCTATTCGATTTCTACGTATATTCTGCTATATTCTCGTAAAAAAATAATAAAAAAAGAAACAAAAGCTGTTTTTAACACTGTTATTTTTATTTTCGTCAACTTTTTTCGACAGTGCGAAGTACTTATACCATATATATACTGCATATCAATGACTCTGCGTGTGACATTTGTACTTAAAAATTCCAAGCAATGTCATAAAATGCCAAATATTTTAACACTATGCATGTGGCATGCAAGCAAATGTATGAAAGTAGATATGTTTTACAATACTATGAGTCGACATTTTTACGTCATTGTAGTGCACGAAGTTCAACCACTGGGACATGATCCAAGCCTGTTTGCACACTCAATCAGCTGTTAAATTTTCTTAACACACTACATGTAGTTTGCGAATACACACTGAAATAATGTCCATTTGCACTTGCACTTGTTTGCAAATTTCTTCGTACAAAAAGGTGCAGGTATTTAATGTCTTTGCACACCTGGTTTTACTAATTGTGTCTCACACACTGGTACGCAAAAACATGCACCTTTATCTTCTGTACATTCACTTACACTGTAAATTCTGTCGGTAGAATTTCCTCTGTGCAGTCGTTTGCAATAGAACCAGTTCTAATTCTCGCATTTTTGTTGTATACAGCTCTAAGTTCCTTTGCAAACTCGTTTACAGTAATCTACAGAGGCAAAGCGATTGTGGTTTCCACCACATCTGCTGTACCAGAACGGGCGACATAATCCACTTTTCTTCTCAAAATAATACCTTATCGTATATTCTTTTCGACTTTTACACCAATTGCCGTGGTTGAGGCTAAGATTACACGCGCATGTGCGCTGACATTTACTTCGGGTTCGGAAAATGTTTTTAGATTTTCGGCAGCCATGATGCATGAAGCTGGAACAGCGTCCTTTCTTCCTGTTGAAGTAATAACGCTTTTTCCCTGGACCACATACTGAGTCGGATTCAGGCTTTAAATCGAGACAGCCTACATGTAAGTTAAGAAGAAAAAAAATCGTAAGACAATTTTTCCCGAGTGGTATCTTTACTTTTGTGTAGAGTACTATTTTTTTAGTTCCCTTGATTCAGATCTACTTTTTCCTGTCCGAATTCGAAACAATGAATTTATCAAATCTTCTTTTAAAAAAATAAGGTACCCTATATGTACTAAAAACATTTTTAAAAAGTTATATGGTAAGGAAGAAACAACAGATTTGGGGAAAAGGAGAAGTGGTATACAGTCAAGTCTTTTAAAGTTGTTAACATTCATAAACTACTCTAGTATTTATTAATACAAAATGAAATATTGAAATAGATTATTCTAAATCAAACAAAAAAATTTCACCTACTAGAAATAATAATAATGAAAAGAAATAGAGAAATAATATCCAAAATGCCTAAAATCTGGTCCTATTCTTATAGAGATTATCACAAATTTGAAAAAAAAAAATCTTTTTCCTGCTTCACCGATGGAAGGAAGGGATCGACGATTATTAAAATATTTAAATGATTTTTTTTTCGAATAAATAAAAATACATACTTTCTGGTAAAGTTTCCACTTGTAAAGTCTGTAAAGTTTGTATCAACGCAACTCGAAGAAAAAGGAATAAACAACAAATCTGTATCCAAATCCTTGCAAAATCCATAACTGCACTACAGTGACACTCAGACTTGCATTCTTATATAATAACAGTTCAGGTAAACTATTCTACCGATAGGATCTTTCATTGAAATACAACTAATTGTAATTAATGTGTAATGCATGAATAATTTATTTACTACGGGGGAAGACAATACTAGTCTCACTTAGCGTATACAATTGTATTTCCTTAAATTATTAAAGTTAGTTTTATGTGGTGGATCTACAGTGCATGTCAGACGAAAAGAAGCTTGGTTTGTTCCTCAAAATCATCTTCAAGAAAGGAAACTACATTTTTAATTTCAAATTTAAAATACCCCCTTTCAAAAGATACAATATATTTATCATAGTCCCCCAATTGCAGGGCAAATGTTACAAATATATCGTTAATTTGAAAGTTCCTCATTTTAGTTAGACTACTGTTGCTTTAGCCGTCATTTGTTCCATTTGTTTGTTGTTTTTTTTCTAAAAAGAAATAACTTCCACTTATTGCAACTATAGAGGAATATGCCTTTCCCTTCAGTCAATGTAAAAGAAGATTTGATGGCGACAGTATATGCATCTAAGAAAAAAAAATAGTATGTTTAAGAAAAAAAAGGAAACGTTCTGGCTCAAACAGGCAGTTTTCAGATTTTGTTCGGAAATCATTTCTGGTTTGGAAATCGATTATTGTTAATTTTTGCTTTCAAAAACTTTACTCACGCTTTCTAGCGTTATATTGCACTTATTACAAGGGCATTTGTATAATTCAAAAGAATTCAATTATTTATTGCCTTTGATTTTCTAACATAAAAAAGAAATAACAAATGGTTTATCAACAAACTCGCAACGCCCTCTTCCAAAGCTTGTCCACGTACTTGTAATAATGAAAATTCTTTTGCCATCTAATGGCAAAATATGAATAATGTTTTTAATAAAGATCTGGAAAACGTTGTTTCTAGCAAATATAATAGAATTAAACACTGACGATTTTTATTTTTTTTTTCTTTATTTTATTGTTACAACAATCAACAACGTAACAGAACTTTTGCTTAAATCTGTGCTTCATATATTTCTTTCAAAATATTTATAAAACTGCCCTTGTGCTGTACTTTTGTACATATACATGTATCTATTTCTGGTAATGAAGAACGTCAAATAAAGATAATCATTAGCCTCAATTAATCGATAATTTATTATGCACAAATAAAACTGGTGAAACATATTCCCCTCCATTGAATGTGCACATTTTTGTGAATAAAGTTAATGCTTTGTTAAAATATCGAAGTAAAAATAATAGAAACATACTTTAAGTAGTTTGTAGTTAAGGAAGAATAAACTTCTGCAAAGAGAGATAACTTTTACATTATTATTTTTTTTAATTGTCAAAGTGTTATTAATCACTGTGTTCCCTTTATAACAAATTCTTCAACAATTATTTGTTACGTATTTTGCCATGTTGGTACATCTGTATTAAGATTTTCATTTTGCGTGAATTTACTTTAACCAACATTCTTTGTGAGATTTTTGACATTATATTATTACCAATTCAAAAAATAAGATTCTCATGGGAAGACCTTGGTTTTCCCTTCGAATGCTATACATTAACAGTATCAAATTTAACACAAAGTTCACAGTTTTGAGATCACTTTCATTGAAAGCAATTAACATCACAATTATGCACTGCAATGAGATTAGTAGTAAAAAAATGAAAATGGATTATTCCAACCAATCGTGGTTGACGGATAATTAGGGAATGGTGAAGTACCAGGGGGTGTTTGAGTTACTGCGTTAGGTTGTGCATTTGGAGACATATTTGGTTCTGAGTTAGGTTGACGCGGCGGTTGAGTGTTTGGTTGACGTGGTGGTTGAGAGTTTGGTTGACGTGGTGGTTGAGAGTTTGGTTGACGTTGGGGATTTTTGGGTTGTTGGGAGTTGGGCTGACTTGGAGGATAGTTTGGTTGACGAGGTGGCTGGAAGTTTGAGTTGGGACCATTTGGTTGTCGTTGTCCGCCGTTAGGAAAATTTGTATTAGAGTTGGGACTGTTTGGTTGCCATTGTCCGCCGTTTGGAGGAGATTGAAAGTTAGAATTCGAGTTAGGACCATTTTGTCGTTGTTGTCCAGTATTAGGCTGCCTATTTCTTGCCCAGGGAGGTGGTGGACCATTTCGCCGAGGAGGAGGAGGTCTACTTTGTCCATTGCCTTGGGGGCGCCATGGCCTTTGAGGTCCAGGTGGGGGTCGTTGTCCATTTGGTGGAGGATGCCATCCACCGTTTGGTGAACCCCATTGTCCACTGGAATGTGGAGGACCGCCTCTTGGTTGTGGTGGCCAGTTACCATTATGGGGTCCATTTTGAGGTGGCGGATTATTTCGTCTCTGGGGTGGAGGAGGGGGTCGTCGATTGGGTGGTCGCTTGCCTTTAGCAGCATTGCTTTTCGGTCGCCTGCCATTGCCACCTTTGCCTTTCGATGGAGGTTTTTTCCTACCCATTTTGGCAGGCTTATTCGGTCTCCCTGGTGCCGGACCATGATTACCAGGACCGCCAGGAAACATTCCTCCTGCAGGTGTCCCTGGATGCGCCATACCACTACCAAAAGATCCCGGTGGAAGTGCAAAAGGCATCTCATTAAAGGAGGGGAAATCGAAGCCTATTATCGACTCTATCTCTCTGGGATTACACGCAGCTTGACATTCGCCCTGAGTCATAAAATTATTGCCGTTCCCTCCACAGCCAGTATAGGGCTTTTGAACGCAAACCTCCCCAACTGCCATCCACCGCATGACCTCTTGCTCACAATTTGGTCCACCTACTTGTGACCCCTCTGATATTGGTTGTCTACAAACACAGTCTTTTTTGCACTGTGTCATCGTTGGAAATCCTGAGAAGGCACATCCTAATTTGTACACGCATCTGGAATGAGAAAAAGTATGTCTTCAATTGTTCTCTTGACCTGTTCTTTATTTATCAATGAAATTTGTTCATAATTGCGATTTGACGTAAACGACCCATTTGAATTCGAAAATCGTGGATTTATATCCCATGAATTTTACTGGGAATTTAAGCATTTGCCAGTATTAATCAGCAGAATTTCATATATCAAGTTTACATTTTGAACTTACTGTCCTGTGCGCTGGTCGAAGAAATATTTATAGGTGTCCATTCCCATACAATACTGAGCAGTCTGCGGGTCTGTGGAACATACTGAAAGAAGCAAATTGTATAATGTCGATATCATTTAATACTCTGTTCTAGAAAACACCTTAATCTGATCGATCGATATTAAATGATATTATTTAGCAAAGGATGACTTGAAGTGAGTGAGTTTTTGAATTTTTCGTGTTATAATCGGTTACATAATGCGATATTGTTGAATGGAATTGTTTAAATAACATACTTAGCATTTTGTAAAAACAACCAAAACTTTTGCATCTTTGGCTGACACCTAAGATTCCAACTGAAGGTTTTTCTTGGAGTGACAGTTTAGAACTTCTACCCTTAATGATTTAACATGATTGTATGTATGTAATGTTCTATACACATCAGTCTCTTTTAATATACTACATTCACAAGCTGTAGGTAGCAAGTACTAGTGTTGTAATACTTGTCAACTATTGTGTTTATGTGCCGTATTTATCGTCGTCTATAAAGATATCTTTAGCAGTAATTAATGTCATCCTGTTGCAATGGTTACAATAAATATATTAACCACATTTATTTTATTAACTACACATATTATATAAACCACATTCTTGACAATACTCACATCTGTCCATTCTCTGGGATTCTGCATAGATAACCAGGCTAAACAGAATATATGCTGCATGCTCCCACATCTGCCTCAGGAAAATACAAAGATAAAATTATGATTTGGTCAATCAGGAACAATCATGATCAGCTAGAGGTTAGATCAGCTGAAGAAGAGATTTACAGCAGCAACTTTGCCATCTGAACGGCTGGTTTATTATCTTTTTTAATTGTCGAGTCTATCAAACAGTTTAACTACCATTGGGTATGAATATACCGGTATAGTTGAATAAGATATTGCAACAGAATGAATTTTACTTTTTGTTGCAAAATTTTACGCGCGTTTTGGGTTCAAATTCAAATTATTATGTTCTTCAAGAGTATGTGCAGAAGGCAGAGAAAATTCAGATTAATATGAATTTGACATTGGATCTGACCTTGAACCATACAAGGCGTTACAGTAGCATTACACTGAGCACGTGACCACAGATCATGTGACCTTCAAATCAAGTGGACAGTGTAATAGCTATTCTAAAGAGACTGGCAATTCCTATCTCATTGCAATTTTAAGTAAGAAATTTCTTAACTTGTTGCTATAGGTCCCCAGTAAGCGGGTAATTATACTGTGTTATGTTTTGGTGTTGGGAAAATAAAAAAAACTTTACATATCTATAAATTTAACGACATAGTCTGTATTTTTATTGAATGGGTGGGTAAACTTGTGGAGGAAAGTATACAATGCTATTGAAAACAATAAAACCTTTGTAACTATTTTCAGTAGAGTTACTCAGTTCAATAAAAAGTTAAAAGACATGAGCACAGGACCAAACCACAGAGAACGCATGCATTGCAAATCAAAAATAAAAGTCTTTGTATGATATGCAGAAAATAGGCCATTTGATATATCGATGTCAAATATCTCCATGTTCTCCGAATATTGACAGTTTATAGGAGTTGGTGGAAGGACAGGCGTGCATATAAATAGAACTATAAGATTCGACATCATTGGTCTTTGTTTCAAACTTCACACTGTTTATTGCAATTACTACTACATTGTATCAAGCAGGGGGCAATTTTAAGAGTTTTTTTTTTAAATCTCATACATAATCAGAGAAAAGTTGAAAGTATTTGAATCCCCAATTTGTGGTTGTCTCCCTTACTTCCAAAATGGCCACTGCGGATCTGAATAAATCTTTTTTTTAAATAGCTGTTGTCTATTGTGGTTGGTATAGGACATAATTCATTAATTTATCGCCGCTAAATAAATATTCGTGTACCAGCCACCGTAGTTTTTCAGTAGTATAGTTTTGGTAAACAGAAGTCCCCCAGTTAATTTTGATCAAAGAGTACAGGGAATTCGGAATGGTTTGAATGATAAAATGTCGATAATGTGTCAAGATGTTGATCCTTTTCTTGTGGTAGTGGAATATCTATGTGCATAAATTGGCATTGGTTTGACCTACGACCACCTTTGCACATTAAAAAAAATCTTATTGACTTTAAAGTGATCACATTTATATTTTCTAGATGTGAAAAGAGAAGTAGAGCAATATATCTGATTTAGCACAGTGGCCCAACAAAGAAACGTCATTCTGGCAAAACGAAATGATTTGTTAATTCTGTATGCTTGTCATCAGGGTCTATTGTACGATTTATGCACACATACGCTCAATTTTTTTTTTATAAGTCCCTCTGAAAAATGTACATTCATATTCATATAACAAAGCAATTTCAATGATTTTAGCCAGTAGTTGATCATCACAATGTATGGACGAGATGAGAGTTGCGCTTATTCGGGTTTGTGTTGGTGATGCATAAAGTGCACGGACTTTCAAGATGATGCTCCATTTTTAGGAATACCATAGCACTGCCTCTAAGAAACGAAACTTTACTTCTGTTTTTGTAGCCTTCTTTGATACTTCTCTATGTAACATACAAGGTCATCATAATTTCTGACCCTTTCAATACAAAACCTACGTGTTTGAATGCATTTCACACATATAGAATTGGATAATATATAAACCATGTACCATTAAAGCTAAATAAATTAGATTCTTAAACGAGGAAAATTTAACTTACCGCTTTGCCCATATTGTATTTTCTGTTGGCGTTAACCACCTTGGACCCTTTCGTACTGACCGGTGAGTTTCTGGTAGTCAGTAGTAGCCACTGTGCGAAGCGCCATTGACAGTTTTATTAACCAGCTTTGGCATACTTACATAGACTTATATTTTTTATATGAGAATGGCTGCATAAAAGTTTCCGGACACATACCAGTTTGTATAATCGCTGATATAATAGACATCTTTAAATATGATGGAGTTTGGCGATTAAAATGTCACACATATATATTTATATGTGCATTATTACGCGCTGGATTTAGAAAGAATATTTATCCATTTTCATATATAAATGCTTTTGTTTGTTTTTTTTTTTAAATCATTATTCATATCTTTTATGTATTTTTAAAGATTTGTAGTAAAAGTGTTCCTTATCCTTTTCACATTTCTATCAATAAAGATTGAATAATGCATTGATATTAACGCAAATAAATAATTATATTCCTTATTTTTCTACAAAGCACAAATAAAAAAAACGTCAATGCAGAATCGAATCTTTACTTTTAAGTTTTAATTATCAGAAGAAAAAAAAATCCAGTACTATATTTGAATCTGGATGTACAAGACACTGGAAATTCAGCAAAATTTTAAGAAATTCTTTGGTGTAATTTATGAAGTATGAAATCAAGAGCATACGCGTGTCTTTCGACAGTTGACAATTTTCAAATGCCAAATGAGTACGTGTCTAATTATGAATGTTGTAATGAGCAGTTTTACCTTCCCAGATAAACAAATTTTCAAATGATAAATGATTCTACATCACATTTTGAAAAATTAATGTTTTAGCATGTTCACACGTAGGTCATTTTTTTCCGAATAATTAACAGCAATAAATTGATATGTGGGTCATTGACGAGCACGCAGTCGATTATTATCTACATAATGTGACCACATTGTTATAAGTCAGTTACGTTGAGTTCCTGTGTACAAGTATACTGAACAAGAGCCCCATGGGCCACAACGCTCACCTGAGTAACTTTGGCCTTGCTTTTTTTTTCACTTGATTTCCCCCCCCCTTTTGAAGTACTTATTGTGGCCCCGCCCTACCCCCAGGAGTCATGATTTGAACAATTTAGAATCTACACTACCCCAAGAATGCTTCAACATATTAAGTTTCAGCTTTTCTGGCCAGTGGTTCTTGAGAAAAAAATGTTTATAGATTTTTACTGTATATTTCAATGTAAAAGTTGGATTCCCTATTGTGGCCCCGCCCTACCCACGGGGGTCATGATTTGAACAATTTAGAATCTACACTACCCAAGGATGCTTCCATATAGGTTTCAGCTTTTCTGGCCCAGTGGTTCTTGAGAAGAAGATTTTTAAAGATTTTTACTACATATTTCAATGTAAAACTTGGATTCCCCATTGTGGCCCCGCCCTACCCCCGGGGGCCATGATTTGAACAATTTAGAATCTAAACTACCCCAGGATGCTTTCACATAAGTTTCAGCTTTTCTGGCCCAGTGGTTCTTGAGAAGAAGATTTTTTAATGACCCCACCCAATTTTTGTATTTTCTTGATTATCTCCCCTTTGAAGGGGACTTGGCCCTTCATTTTTACAATTTAAACTTCCCTTTACCCAAGGATGCTTTGTACCAAGTTTGGTTAAAATTGGACCAGTGGTTCTTGAGAAGAAGTTGAAAATGTGAAAAGTTTACAGACGGACGGATGGACGACGGACAATGGGTGATCAGAAAAGCTCACTTGAGCTTTCAGCTCAGCTGAGCTAAAAATTAAAGCCAGGTACTTAGTATCGAGCCCCCCCTTTTTTTCTTCAAACAATGTTTTTCTGTTTATTTAGTATATGAAACAATTAATTGAAAGGCCAGATGCATAAAATATCTTTCTTGTAAAAGTTGGAACCTAAACCTCCCTCCTCCTTCCCCTTACACACACACCCACACACAGGAAATAGGTTTTTGAGTTTTGACAAAGTTCTTTTTTTTTATTTTGGGCTTGTCAAATGATTTTACTGGGTAATTTGCCAATTATTTTTCTTGCCCCCTCCCCCTCCCCTTTCTAAAACAATATTAAGTGCCTGAAACAGTGACAAAAATTACGTACATTGTAATGAATTCAATTTATTGAAATGTGCACTTTGAACGCCGGGGGGCATGGGCGCCCCGGTCACCCAACTTTTTTTCTGAGTATAGTATTTTTCATAGTAAATTTTCAATTTTCATGTAAATGCTGGTTGCCCCTCTACCTGTACCAAAAAGTAAGATTATTGAGGGGGGGGGGGGGTCCCGCTTCCCCCACTTTTGGGTTAGTTGAGGTTGTCGTTTTTTTTCTCTCCCCCCCTTTTTTTTGCTTTCAGATTTTTTGGGAGGTCCCCCTTACTTTTAAAAACGTTGCTACGGGGTCTGCCCATTACGTAGTTTTTAAACGCATTTTAATAAAAATCGAAATTGATAATTATTGCATAAAATTTTATAGAATTTTGAATAAAAACATGGTAATTATATCAATAACCTGTGACTTTAGTCAGATTTTATTCGAAAGTTGATTGTAAGCGAACAAGTTATAATGATGACCTTTAGATATATAAGATATATAAAAAAAAATAATAAGTCATTCAGAAATACCCAGTAAAGTATAAAATTTCATCCCATAAAAACTATTTGAAAGCAGAATCGCAAAAATAATCATGTTTTATGGATCAAACATCCATCATTTATATTTAAAAGAAAGACAATAAGGATAACGGGGTAACACACATTTAATGCATATCATGTGGATTTCAACTTTTATTTGAATTTTGTTGAATAATCGCGTACTCTCAAAGTGCACATCGCATGTACATGTACATGTACAATGACTCTTATTTAATCGAAGATATCACAAGAATTAAAATTAAATCCCCCTTCAAGAGCATTCACATTATTTATTTCTTTCCTGCCATCGGGTGCCATGGATTACTATTGGCTGAGACGAAATTTTCTCTTCCTCTGTTAGATCCGCCTCCTATCAAACCTTGACCTGTTCCTCCTCCACCCATTGATCCACCACTTCTGCCTCCCATCATGTTCATCAATTTGCCAATAGCAGCACTCCCTCCTACAACATCTTCCACTGGTAAAGTTAAGGACGTTTGGCTTTTTGGGAAAGGAGCTGAGTTACTTTTTGATTGCATACTGGCTCTTGACATGAAACCGCCGCCCGTGGGTTGCCCGCTCATCATGCCCTGTCCTTGGGATAATGCGTTTGTCATACCCCCAACGAAACCAGATCCCATACCCACGGGGTGACGCGCGCCTGAATGTGCAGATTCAAACGAACTACCTGAGGGATGGTCATCTCCCATTCCTCCTGCGGAATGACCAGAGATTTTCAATGATGATCCACCAAGGCCTGATAGGCCATTTCCGCCGGAAGTTCCGAGCATGGATGATATACGCCCACTTCCGCCTGCTGGAACTGAACGACTTCCACTAAGAACAAGTTTGGATCCGCCCATGGGGTTTCCTCCACTCTGACTTAAACTACCTCCAGATGTTCCAAATGAAAATGCTCCACCAGATGTTCTAGCTGACCCCATGGGAATTGAAGTCTTTCCACTCATTACCAACTTGGACCCACCCACTGGTACGCTTTCCGAGAAACTTCCTCCAGATGATATGAACTGTCCACCAGCTGATCCACCTGGCATCGAACTACTACCTGACAATACCATTCTGGACCCTCCGACTGGTATTGTCTGGCTATTCGATGATAAACCTGTGATTTTAAGTCTTTGAGGAAAATTATTCTTTGTGTCTTGCTTTGCAACGAAATGCCAATGCTCTTTCTTATGGAGGTCAGGTGTTATGAATCGTATAATCTGGTTTGCTTGTTGGGTCCCTCTCATGACATTACTGCGATCCCCATGGATCCAAAGGGATTTGGATCCGGTGAACTTATTTCCGTATTTTTGCGGATTGTAAAAATTATTTGTTTCAAAGTGGATTTCACTTCCGCTACCCCAGTTACTGCCTCGTGGTTTTACCATTCCAGGTGCGGATCCAACACATGTGGAGCGACACTCCTCATAAGTTTGAAAATTGTTGCTGTTTCCCTGACAACCGCCATAAGTAAATTTTTCGCAGCAACCAGTGGTAGGGTTATAGAACCATTTTTCCATTGCTGATCGACAAGGACCCGCCTCCGGTGGAATATGACAAACACAGTGCCGATTGCACGATTCTTCCGTCCGGAAACGATTTTCGTTACCTCCACATCCGGAGAACATGAAGCTATCACATCGACCAGAAACAGGATTATAAAAGAAATTCTTAATCTGCGCAGAGCAGGGTCCTCGTTGCTTTGGAAGTAAACATACTGCAATAGAAGTATATTCATGTATTACTGTAAAAAACTTGAAACATGGCATTAATTTTTTTGTTTCGGGGATCGGGGATTTTTATTTATTAATATATGAAGTTTGAGTACTTTACTTAATTTTCTTTTGTTTTTGTTTGTGTTTGTTTGTTTTTGTTTGTTTGTTTGTTTGTTTTTTACATCTTTGGAGTTTGAAAGGACTCATGGAAAGGAGATACATGATGAAATAGGAGTGATTTGGCATGATAATTTTACATGCACGAAAACGTCTAATGTAAAGTACTTGGTATCTACAATATGTAGACAAAGAATAATAATATGATATTTTGAAGTATAATAAATCAAACATTAACCATTGACTTTATATAATTCCATACGGTGTCACAAAAAGTCACACGGTACACAAAAACAGGCCGTAAATGCTCCCCCTTTTTTGGGGGGAATTTTTTTTATCGAAACTTTGAAACGTTTATTTTACTCGAGGGCTCGCACGAGGACATGCTACAAATTTTGAACAAGAATATATTAATAAGAACAAACATATGTACAAGAAATTTCAAGGGTTGGAAGATAATATAATGTTTGTATTTCCTTGTTTAAAAATTGTTAATCACAATTTTGTTTTATATACTTAATCCAGTAATAACATATTGATCATGACTATTCATGAGATCCGAAAAACTACAATAATATTTCTGTTTTTGCATAAATCATGGGGTAAAAAATCATACCTTTCTTGTTTAAAGTTATCACAATTGAACAAATAATGGTACTAATCACATAGTTCTATATTACTAACTACACCATGTAAGATTACAAATTCTTTCACTTCTTTCTATGCTATAAAATCTACCAGTTTTAATTGGGAGTCTGACTATCACATCTAAATTTGCAAAATTTATAAGTGAAATCAACAGGTAACACCCAGAAATATTTTCCAAATTCAGTCTTTATATCAACTCTATAATTAAAACATTTTGGTCCATAATGTATTTGAATTTTAATACAGTAATTCTTCACATTAATAGTCCTTCTGTCAAATCCACATGTAGCTAGACGAGTTATCTCTCTTGTTACGACCTGACATGCTACTTGAGCACGTACATCAAAGAACAGTTATCACGCCGTAGTAAAACATTATTATACTAAATTCAGTTGAATATTTGATTTTTGATTCGTTTATCATGTTTCGACGGTTAACCACATACAATTCGAAACAAAATCCCGAAGAAATAGGGAAAGAGAGAGAGAGAGGGGGGGGGGGGTAGTACCTGGGGGCGGTGTCCAGTTGTCTGCACAGTATGCCAGAGTGAAAATGGCTAGGAAACACAACACTCCATGCATTTTGTTTGGGGATCTGGAAAGAAAAGCACAGCGTATGAAAATTATTGTTGTATTTCCTTGCAAAAGATGGCAAGTCGGAGAATAGTTTAATCCGAACATTGAAATGGCCCCTCTTCGGATATTTGACCAAAATTTAGATACATAGATACATTTTGAGTAATATTTTAAAAGCGTACAAAAGTCATGTATTTGTTGATCATTTTGCACCATATCAATTTTTTTTTTTAGAATAATCAAAGAATAATTTTTTGAGTTTTCAACAAAAAGGGGGAGGGTAAGAAGCACACTAAAACCATTAAAATGAGAATCGGAAATTTCTTTTATTGACAATAATGCTGTACTTAGAAAATCCTTTAATATTAACTGTTATTTCAATGGCACCAATGAAATCTTATTCAAGGCTTTCCCAAAGTAATTTTATGTTTTAAGCCATCCACTTCGAAGAATATTATTTTGAAGATAAACAGAAAAGATAAAAGCAAATCTTTATTTTTTTTTCTGTTCCTATTAGTTTTCACTCAAAAAAAAATATAGTTAAGTAATAAACCTATGTGAGTACATGTTACTCAAATTTTGATTCATGTAATGAAAAGGAGAAGAAAAAGACCAGTAAATTAATCTAACAAAACCTAACAGTTGTTAAAAAATGTAAAACATAAAGATCCCTAGGGGAAAAAAGGAAAAAAAGGGGGGTGTGTGGCAGATGCTTAGGAGAAGTAAGGATCCCCTGTCGGTCACACCTGCCATGAGCCCTCCGAATTGATAAGGTAAACCGAATATAATCCGTAGTCAAATTAGTATTAAAACAATGGCCTAACAACTGGTACGAAACATGTCAGTCAAAATACGATAAAAACGATAGGTTATATTCACAAACAAGAATAACGACCATAGATTAAAACTGGCAAAATGCTGACATTTAACGTTTTGTAAACGAATAAACACTCGAGACATTTATCTGAAAATTTTGTTTGTTTAGATGCCTTTTCCCTCTCTCATGGGTTTTGACATTTTAGGTGATGTTAAACGTAGAATTAATTTCAGATAGCCTGATATCTGTGATTTTAAAAAAAAAATATATTATTTACACTTATTTCTAAAATATGTTTTCACATCATAATTAGTCATTCAAAGCCTTTTATTTTAATTCTAATTTTAACAAATGAATATTTATTTATCAGTTACTTATTTAATAATTTCAAAAGGAATCCAATATATATATAATATTAAAGCAACATATAATTTGAAAATTATATTATTCATAAAAAAATATCAAAGTCTTACCGATCGTATGTCCTTTTAATGAATATTACTTACTGTAACAACAAAAGATACACAGAGTTCATTTGAAGTGTAGCAGCCACTAATCACCCGATGCCCCCGAGGTCCGCCATTTATAATAGAAATACATACAGGAAAGAACGTGAGCGTAAAATTAAAAAAAAAAAATCAAAATATCATTTTTTTTACCCTAATTGCAAATGTAGGATTTGTATTTAGTTCATTTTAGATTGTAAGTAAGTTTTTCCATTTGGAAAATTTTTGTATAAAGCTTTAAAAAATATAACTTTTATACCAAATGAAGTGTAACCTTTGACCTATTGTTACTCATTAAAGATGGCGTCTTAGCCGGAAGGACTTCACGCCAGCTCACGCATTCTCCTGCCAGAATCCGCTGCAGTAATTAATTAACACGATGATAAAATGAAACGATTCTTTCATTTTGACCCAATCCCTATTACTTCTTGGCGTTGGCCCCTCGGGTTTTCCTTGTTTCCAAATTTATCTTTGCTTATCATTTTATGTAAACAACGTATCTCTCTTTCTCTCTCTTTTGTAAAAAAAAGATGATCGACTGAAGAACTTCGATAAAAGAACGAATAGAGATTAGTCTGTTTCGATTAAAGCTTGCCATCTTACCGTAAACCAGGATAGACTTTTTAAATAACCCCATAGAATACATGTGTATGTACCGGTAGTTCGACCTGTGCCCTTATAATTGGTACAAGTCATATTTCTTTGAAAGATGACCCAGTATGAATATTGTCTTCCAGCTCCATCCATAGGAACTATAGGATGAGACCAATAATTACGAATTTGCGTTATTGATTATTTTTGTGGATATCCATTTGTCAACTTTTAAGCTCGAGAAGTTTTTCGAGTTGGAATGGAAGTTGTCTTTATTGGTCATCACAGTTGACCTTGAACTTGATAAGTGAAGTTTATTTATCTACCGATGAACAGTCAGGAACCTTCATGTATCATGCATGATTCTGTGACCTTAAAATTTCATACATAGATATATATAATTTCGATTACCCCACTGCACATATGGCGCCTTAGACCTGGAGTGGTTGATATACATGTATCTCCATCGTACTTCTATGTTTAAATACTGGTGATTAAATGTACACGTTATCAGACTGTAAACGCCGCGTGTCTGCCCGTTATGTGTATGGTTTGTTGTTAAGATGCTTTAACCTTAAGGCATTATTTCATTTGTTAATTACGTGTACATGTAGTAAGAATGTTAATATTCATATTTTTAAAATAATCGTGTAACGATTCTTAAGGAATTCGAATCGAACATTTATTTGGTATCAGTGTTTTGGGGTCAATTTATTTTTTTTTCAAATTGGCGGACAAATTTATATAGAATGTCTATCTGATTTGTACTACAATATTCTTTGATCTGTTGATAAAGATTGTTTAATTTTTCATCATAAGTACTTTCGTTGAATGTTCGCGGGCATATGTGTTCCCTGTAGTGTTATAATTACCAATTGTTTATCAAGTCTAGTATGAAGTTATAAAACTTTTCCGTATTCTAGTTTCGTTTAAGATGATAAATGGATTTCAGCTCTCTATGTTAACATTTTTTACACTGAATTTTAAGTTTCCCTGTGGCGTTAAAAAAAACCCACAGACATACTCAGTATCTAAACATAGAACACAACGAGAAAAACAAATAATTCAATAGGCAATTGAATTAAGAAAATTGTAGTAATTTTTTTTGTTACTAACGTACTTGTAATTTAAGGACCCCATTGGAAATAAGCTTGTTTAAAAAGGCTTTTATGGGCTATCCTTAGGTAATACCTATCACCTGTATGTCATGTAACTAATATAATAATACATGTATATGCTAAATTAGATCTTTATTAAGTAGCATAGTGCTGAGATAATGTCTGTTGTTTTTTTTTTCTATTAGTAGGCTAATCTGTAATGTTTTAATTGTGTGTTAATTGTCATGACATTCTGTGATAATTTTACCTGAATAAAATGAAATGAAAAAAAAAAGACTGAAAATTTTTTTCCGCAGGGTTTTTATTATTTTAAGGTAGCTGTCAAGGAAGCCAATCCCCTGTGTCCTCTGTTCGGCAGGTTTTTTTTTTATTATTTTAAGGTAGCTGTCAAGGAAGCCAGTCCCCCGTGTCCTCTGTTCTTCTGATGAGATAAATACCGTCTCGAACAGGAAGCATCACCTTGAAAACAAAAAAATATTCATACACGTGTACATTCAGGGTTCAAAATTAAGTGGAAATACTCGCTAAATGCGACAATAAAATACCTTTTAGCGAGTGTGTCATACTAAATACTGGCAAAATTTATCGGTAAGTTCCAGTTTGGGGTTTTTTACCAGTCCATATTAAAAGTGTTTGAATGACTGCTAGTGCACATTTTGGAGTTTAATTAAACTAGAGGCCCCTATTCATCTGAGTCACCTTGACCTTAATGTTCTTCAGAGAAAAAATGTCTTAAAGATTCTATTACCTCTTTATTTCCATATTTTAGTCACACCCTGTATCCCCAGGATACACAACCTAGCTGTCAATGTTTCCATATTGATATGTTTTAATATGGCCATATTTACTTTTGATGGTTCCTACATTTTCCATGTAAAAATTTGATTCCTTATTGTGGCCCCCACCCTACCCTCAGGGACCACCATTTGAATAAACTTAATTTAGAAGGATGCTTGCATAGCAACACTAATCATTGCCCTGCTGTTCATGAGAAGATCTTTAATGCATTTTTTCCAATATTTTCAGACATGTAAAAAATTTAACCCCCCTCCATTCTAGCCCGACCCATAATTATATACCCTGTTACCTTATGAACTCGATCGTCCTGTAGAACCACTTCATTAAACTCTGATATTGCCCACGAGTTTGATTCATATTTTTCCCCCGAGTATGGATCGCCGCTTTTTAAAACGTTATCAACAATAAGAGTTCCACCGGAAGCCAGCAAATCCTTTTCAAAAATGGTCTGTAAAATATGAATAACACTCAAAATAAAGTAGAAATAGTAGCGTATTAATGAGGTGCCGACTCTCCGATTTAATTTTAATTAATAAAATAAAAATATTTTTTATATTCATATTTATTGATGAATCTTTTTTAGAGGTTACTTTGTGTTAATATAATCGTCTTAAATAAGAAACTAGACGGTGTAGTTAATTACATTTAAGTGAATATAAAAAATATGATTTATATGTCAGAACTTCTCATCAAGGTTTAAACAACATTAACAAATTAATCAACAACTGACCTTGTAGTACGAAACATATCCATCTTTGTTGGCATCCATGAAAATAATGTCAAACTTCATTTTATTCGCCGCTAACTTTCCCATACTTTCTAGAGCAGGCCCTTATGCAATTAAAATTGAGAGGGAATTGCAAAATGCTTAACATATACATGTATACTCATTGACAGATTTTGCAAATTATATGGTTAAAAGATGATCTTATTGCATGCACTATATTTGCTATTTTCTGTGTTTATGGATGAAAAATTCTCGAATGGGACGTTAAACAACACACAATCAATCAATCAGGGTTTATATTAAGGGTATATATATCAGATTTATCTCTGCATGGAGAAAGGAAACTACATGTACAAATAGAAGATAGCAAGTCCCCTTTGTCGTACATGTGGTTTTGTAAGAACATCTTTTGTTACCGACCTACAATTATTTCTACTTTATGCCCTGCTGGTGATTTGTCAAGAAAAGACCTGGCCAGATCTCCGATGCCTTTGTCAATCTCTAGAGAGACCACTTTACCATCCTTCGGAAGCGCCTCCGCCATGCCCAGTGACGCACATCCGGTAAAAAGGCCGATTTCTAAAGCCATGCGGGCCTTGCTCGCACTGGTTATGGATTTTATGAGCTGGACTAGAATGTAGAAAATTTAGTGTACTGCAGAAAATTTAATTATCTAAAAAAAAAAAAGAATTTTAAACGATACAGTTCAGGACAAAAAGTGTACTACACGAAACATAATAAATATTACACGTAACAATTTATATTACCCTCCTTGTTTCCGGAAAGCATCCTAGGACTTGCCACATAAGAAATCTCTCCCTTTTTGTGGGCGTCCTTCCATGGGTAACATAGTGTTTCATTGATCAAGGTATCCAGAGCTTGACTGGGCTGAGTGGTTTGACCTTCGCAGTACGTGTGTCTTTGCTACAAAATAAAGCTGAATATGCTGGTCTCTATTGATAGACTAGTACATAAATCAGTCAAACAGTGGTTGATCTGTTTTTTTTAATATCTATTCAGCGTTTACAATTGGAATAAAGTTAGCTTTTGTTTTAGCTCACCTGAGCCGAAGGCTTGAGATGGAAGTATCCTCATGTAGTGTACATTAAAATTTGTTCCAATCATGACTCTCCCCCGGAGTAGGGAGGGGATACAATGGGCAATCAAAGTTTTACAAATGAATGCAATGCACAGGAAAAATCTTTTTCTCAAGAACAGCAAAACCCTGAGTAGTCAGATAAAACCAGAGACCTCAGAATGGAAAACTCGGAAGTCTCTAGTTTGATCCTACATTTAAATTTATAACCCCAACCGGAAGTTTTGTATCCCGTCTAGAGTCTTAGAATGTATCGGGGTAATTTTTGAGGAATAAATGAATGGTTTACAATAAAGAGGCTCGACCAGAGACGTCTGAAACGATTAAAGTCTCGAGAAGCGAACATTGTCAGTTTAAAATAGGTTAATGATGGATATATTAACAAAATACGAACTTAAGCGGCCGGGGTGCCTGAAATTGAGTCAGGAACCTTGTGGAAAGAAAAAGTAGGGGGTGACCCCATATACGAAACAAGTGCCTGTGTTCCGACACTTGGGTTGACCTGTTTGCGGAAGTAATACATTTTTAAAACTTTTGATTTTATTCATTTTTTTTCGCGGAATCGGGAAAAATGTATATGCGAAACAGTTACTTGTTTTTTTGCGGGAAGGTAAAACGTGATGCGCCGACCCATATCTGACAGCTGAGGTTTTTAATTTTAAACAATAAAATGTTTTACTAGTATTTGGTTTTTAGTATGGGAGTCAATGTTACAACCGTTGCAGAAAATGCGGGTTATGTATAAGGTGTTTCGAGTTAATTTGTGTTTTATATGTACTTTGTGTTTTATTTTGTGTTTTATGTAATTTGTGTTTTATATGTACTTTCCACCCGATGCTTAAAGAATAAAGATTTAATTTCAATATGAAAAGGAATTTGTTTTTGTTTTCCATCAGATATAGCAACCCCGGCGTAGAAAGCCGAGTGGCATGCTACAGAGCTAAATTTCTGCGCGGATCTAGGGGGGGGGGGGGTCCGGACCTCCTTCCCCCCTTGGAATTTGCAAAGTTATTAAAAGTATATACTGAAGCAAATAAAAAAAAGAAGACTTTTGAACCCGAACCCCCCCCTCCCCAAATCATGGACCCCACCACCACCACCACGAAATATATGTTTTTCACGTTTAGGAAATGGATTTTACGGGTTTTTTGCTTGTCAAATTTTTAGGGAAGGGAATTTAGGTTTTTTAAAAAATTTTTAATATTATTATTATTTATTTTATTTTTTTGCTTGTAAAGAAATTTTTGGGTTGGAATTTTTTTTTGACTGGGGTGGAACCCCCCTCCCGGGAAAAAAATTCTTGGATCCGTGCCTGAATTTCCCCAGAAATTCACACGGTACAACAGCGCATGTGAAAAGATTGATTAACGACCGTGGTTTTCATAATAAAGGAGATGATATTCAGCGGATGTCGAAGATTTTTTTTAGTGTTACGCAACGTAAATATTAAAACTTTGTCGTCTCTGTTTTGTGGTTACAAGTTACGGAAATGGGATAATGGATGAATTGAGGATAAACACAATAAATAATGGGATACCTTCCATTAAATTAAAAAGCAATGATAAAATTGTATATCGTAGATGATTTTGTTTATGTACATGAAATCGATAATCTGGCACGGAAAACTGAACAAATGATATCACTCAGACTAAAACTTTCAAATACATATACATGACTGAACAATTAAATTTCTTGTCAGTCATTCAGGTTTAGTTCACCACAGATTTGAAAAATAGCCTACTTTTCCGCCATGTACTATATGCGTTTTTGATTTGCATTCCATGAATGATCATGCATAAACATCTTTTGAGACAGTCCTAATACATTTAATGTATCTACATAGCACTCTCTGTAAATAACTTGAGACCCGATTTTGTTCGATGCACAAATTTCCGTCAGGTCGCCACCGCTTGCCGGTGGAGGGCTACAAATTTTACACATGTACCTATACTCGGCACTTAGGGCCATTGAGCAGTGAAGGATCTTTTTCGTGTCATCACCTTCTACGACATGGGGCCTCGGTTTATATGCCGGTCTCATCCGAAGGACAGGTCTCCACGTCCCACAGTGGGATTCGAACCCGCGACGTAGGGATCAACTCCTCACTCCGAGACTCAAGAGCAGACGCTCTATCAAGTGTGCCACGCGGTCGACTTCTGTCTAGTAAAATTTTACTGATTTAAAGTACAGACGCGCATACTGGAATGATTTGATATTTAATCCGACGCACCTTAAATTTTAATCCCCCCCCCCCCCCCAAAAAAAAGATTCAATATTCCTGTATATACACGTATACATTTAAGATTGAAAGGGTGAAATACCCGAACAGTTCACCATACGACCGATATTTTGCCCAATCGTGTAAACATTGTAAACATTGCAGTTGTTATCTTTTGTTACTTACTTGATACAGTTCAATTGCTCTGTTAATTTCCGACAGTAGTTCCGGAGAGACATTCTCTTTCTGGGCGATTTCTTTTGCTTTCAACAAATGACGGTAAGCAGGGTCATAATTGTGGTTTAGAATATCTTCATCCGGCTTCGCTGACATGCTGAAGATAATATAATATCTGTCACAAACCGTCTGCTATATTTTTAGAATATCAAGAGCACATAACTCATAAATATACACAGTCCAGTCTGATAAATACCCCGGTCTCTCGAGATCTACATGTATTAATCCACACTTCAGATTCCTGTGATTTTGATATAAGAGCTACATCTCGTTCACTGACGTGACGATTTAAAAAAAATATGACACAACAGATTTAAAACTTTAAATAGCCCTATCTGCAAACAAGCAACTAGAAATGACAAAATATTTATAGTTATAATTAACTTGACGTGTTTCTTGTTTCAATGAAAACAAGATTCCGGGGCCAGAGTTCGATAATAATTTAAAGTTAATTAATGTAACTTACTTAGCACCCTAGATTTCATATTAAAGTACAAGTATTTTATAATCATCTTATGAACAGCTCACCTGAGCCGAAGGCTCGAGCTTTTCTGATCGATATTTGTCCGCTGTCTGTAGTCGTAAACTTTTCACATTTTCATCTTCTTCTCAAGAAGCTCTGGGCCAATTTTAACCAAACTTGCCATAAAGTATCCATGGGTAAAGGGGATTCCATTTTGCACAAATAAAGGGCCACGCCTTCTTCCACGTGGAGAAAATCATGATTTTGCGAAAAATTAATGGCATCATTTAAAAATCTTCTCCTCAAGAACCACTGTGCTTGAAAGTATGAAACTTATGAGGAATCATTGTGAGGTAGTGTAGATTCAAATTTGTTCAAATCATGACCCCCGAGGGTAGGGTGGAGCCACAATTGGGGATCAAAATTTATCATTGGAATACATAAGAAAATCTTTAAAAATCTCCTTCAAAGAACAGCAAAGCCATGATTGGTCAAATTTATATAGAAGCATCCTGGGGTAGTGTAGATTCAAATTTGTTCAAATCATGACCCCCAGGGGTAGGGTGGGGCCACAATAGGCGATAAAAGTTTTACATATGAATACATAGGGAAAACCTTTGAAAAATCCTCTTCTCAAGAAGAGCAAAGCCATAAGTCATATTTATATGGAAGCATCCTCAGGTAGTGTAGATTCACTTTTATTCCAATCATGACCCCCGGGGTAGGGTGGGGCCACAATGGGTGATCAAAGTTTTACATAGGAATACGTAGGAAAATCTTTAAAAATCTTCTTCTCAAGAACATAAAAGCCATGATTGGTCATTTTTATATGGAAGCATCCGCGGGAGTGTAGATTCACTTTTGTACAAATCATGACCCCCGGGGGTAGGGTTGGACCACAATGGGGGATCAAAGTTTCATATAGGAATACATAGGAAAAATCTTTAAAAATCTTCTTCTCAAGAACAACAAAGCCATGATTGGTCATATTTATATGGGAGCATCCTCAGATAGTGTAGATTCAAGCTTGTTCAAATCATGACCTCAGGTGTAGTGTGGGGCCACAATGGGGGATCAAAGTTTTCCATGCGAATACATATGAAAAATCTTTAAAAATCTTCTTCTCTAGAAAAGTTGTGACTGATCATATTAATATGGAAGCATCCTCAGGTAGTGTAGATTCAAGTTTGTTTAAATCATGACCCCCGGGAGTAGGGTGGGGCCACAATGGGGTATCAAAGTTGACATAGGAAAGAATCTTTAAAAATCTTCTTCTTAAGAACAGCAAAGCCATGATTATTAGACATATTCATATGGAAGCATCCTCAAGTAGTGTAGATTCAAGCTTGATCAAATCATGACCCCCGGGGGTAGGGTCGGGCCAAAATGGGCGATAAAAGTTTTACATACTAGGAAAAATCTTTAAAAATCTTCACAAGAACAACAAAGGCATGATTGGTCATAATAATATAAAAGCATCCTCAGTTAATCCCCCAACCATTTTTATATTTAAAACTTTTCAATACTGAACTGATTTCTACTTTTTTCTAGCCAGTGTGCTCAGGTGAGCGATGTGGCCCCTGGGCCTCTTGTTTTTAAATATCCCCGAACCGGAAAATCAAAACAAAAAAGTCAAATGAATAAGCTTTTTAATAACATCCTCAATATCAGAAATATCCATATACTTCCACTTTTACTAAAATATATCTCATTTAATTGCTAGACAAAAGATTTTGGAGTCTTAATTACTTTGACTATCAAGCGATTAAACGTATGAATAGCAAAAGATTTTTCAAAAAAAAAAATCTGATGAAGAAAAAAAATAGCACAACAATTCTGTATTATAACTGAATTTGTAGTATACTGTAGATGTCATTAGCAGCCGGGCCCAGCGTACGGTTGTCTCCAGTGAAAGGTACAACATAATCCACATTATGAAGCGATCTTTGCTGGTGTTTCGTGTTTGTCTGTCTGTGTTCCCCTCCTTCTGGTGTCTGTATCCTCCTGATTTTGTGCTCCTGATGTTTGCATGTCCTCCTTCCTCCTGATTAGCAGAAGTCCGTCTCGTATAGGCAGCAAAACCTCCAAACATAAAGTACACTGTATTCATTGTTAAAAAGGCAAGCTTAAGGAAAAGTTTATTATACAAGTAACTAGGGCTTCTAGACCTTTGCTTCGAAAAACTTTGAAAAAAAATACATCTTGATATTTAAAAGGGGATTTTGAAAGCGGGCTGGTAAAAAAGAGTACTTAAAAATTATCAGTTTTATTATAAAGTAATTGAGTTGCACTATAAAAATACCACAGGCCAAAATATAGTAAAGATTGTGCTAATTTATCACTGCAAATATATCATTGTTCAAAATTATATATTGTAAAGAATTGGGCAGATTTAACACTGCAAAAATATTAAAGGTCAAAATTAATACTGTAAAGAATTGGGCTTATTCACATGTAACACTGCAAAAATATCAAAGGTCAAAATATTGTAAAGAATTGGGCTAATTCAACTACTGCAAAAATATCAAAGGTCAAAATATTATAAAGAATTGGGCTAATTCAACTACTGCAAAAATATCAAAGGTCAAAATATTGTAAAGAATTGGGCTAATTCAACTACTGCAAAAATATCAAAGGTCAAAATATTATAAAGAATTGGGCTAATTCAACTACTGCAAAAGTATCAAAGGTCAAAATATTGTAAAGAATTGGGCTAATTCAACTACTGCAAAAATATCAAAGGTCAAAATATTGTAAAGAATTGGGCTAATTCAACTACTGCAAAAATATCAAAGGTCAAAATATTGTAAAGAATTAGGCTAATTTAAAACTGCAAAAATATCAAAGGTCAGAATACTGTAAAGAATTGGGCAAATTTAACACTGCAAAAATATCAAAGGTCAAAATACTGTAAAGAATTGGGCTAATTAAACTACTTGTGATGTAAATTATATCACATGTCAAAATATTATAAACACTATAACTACATTTATAAAAAAAAAAAAAAAAAAAAAAAAAAAAAAAAAAAAAATCATAGTTCAAAATAATGAAAAGAAATTGGCTAAATTAACTTTTACTGGTAAAATACTGTAAAGAACTAAGTTTATTTAACTAAAACAGCAGTTTCACAGGTCAAATTCCAGATAAAATTAAACTAAATTGATTTAATCTTCCAGGTAAAATTACCACACAAAGAACTGTGGGTAATTAACTGTTGCAAAAATTTCAAAAGGATTTACATCCATTTAATTTTTTATCAGCTTAATTTACTAAAGCATTCTTTTACTACATTGATAACGCTTTCGCAAACATCGGGTGATGGAAAGAATACTCGTAATCAAACGTGGGTTTCAGAAGATACCTACATGATAAAAATTAGCATTAAATATGGATAAATTATCCTTCAAAATTTAAAAACATAAAATCATCATAACCAAATTCAAAGGTAGGAAGAATACCTGGTGGACTCTATCATCCTGTTTGACCATTTCATTAAACTGACCAATACCATGGTCTCTTCCCATGTAGCCCTCGTTCGAGTAAGGATCCCCAAAGAAAAGAGCATTGTCCACTAGTATGGTTCCATTTTCAGCCAGAAGCCCGTATTCAAAAATCATCTGCAAGGATCAGTGCTTATGGAGTCGCGGATTGATATTTATACTAGTATATTGTTCAATTGTTAGGTGCAATCATGGGGGTCAAAAAGTAATGGTTATCTTCAAGCATATAAGTAATATTCATACTGTATATTTACATCCACAAAATATTCTCTCCTTTATTTCTTATGAAAACCGATTGCCATTTTCGCTGCATTAACAATAAACTAGTTTAGGCCATTTTCTTAAAGCCAGAGTTTTGAAGAAGTAGCTAGGCTCTTCCACCCAAGTAACAAACAGACCAATAATGCAATATTTTACATTCTTTCTTTCACTTTATATCAATAATTCAGAGAGATATACATATAAGCAATTGACTTTATTTGTTAATGCCAGAAATAACGGTTGCAATCAGTGTAGAAAAAACAATTACATAACCCTGTATTAACAAACAAAGTAAACATTTTATTGTTTAATTTACTTGTATGCTGGAAGATGAGCCACCTGTCAAATATTTCGATCTAAAACGCCAGAACCCATGCATCTTTAGACAAGACGCCCAAGGGCCATAACAGTCACCTGTGTTTAATACAACCCTGTAGAGGATCCACGGAATGGTAAATGAGTATATGTATATAATAACACAAAATAAACCGAAACCCAAAAATAAATGAAAAAGAATGGTCAGGGATAAAAAAAAAATAGTTATTCTGGTAATCAGCAACAACTCAAAAACTTGCCTGTATATGCCATTATAGCTATCTACACTCTATCAGTATCACCATACTTAACAAGACACAAGTGCTTTAGCATAAAATACAATATTCACAGTCGCCCGCGCGGTTAGGGCGATTGCTGCAGTATTGCGGAGTAAAGAGTTGATTCGCGGGTTCAAATCCACTGTGTGACTCGGAGACCGGTCCTTTGGAAGAGACCGTATAAACCGAGGTCCCTTGTTGCAGTATGTACTGGCATGAAAAAGATCACTCACTGCTCAAAGGCTGTAAGTGCCGAGTACAGATCTAAATTTGCAGGCCTCCACAGGCAGGTGGTGGCGTCTCAAGAGCCATGAAATCCACAATTTGGAAAAGGTTACCTTGCTCATTATTACCATGCTCTTAGTTTTGATTCTAAATACCAAAGAGCAGAGAAGTTTTTCAAAGAATTAATGCATTTTCATTAATGATCTAAAGACCCCACCCCAACTTCAAAACGCTTGACTCAGGGGCCATAAATTTCACTATTTTGGAAGAGCCACCCTTGCTCATCATTTCCATGAAATTGGTTTGTCTTCTAATTACCCATGAAAAGAGAACAAGATTTTTGATAAATGCATTTTCACTATATGATATATAGAGCCCTACCCTAACACAAGAACCCCTGCCTATGTAGCCAAGAATTTCACAATTTAGGTAGAGGGCTCAATACTTATTACAATCATACCAACAGTTCTAATACCCTGGAGTAAAGAAGAAGATTTTTAAAGATTGATCAATTTTGAGTGTTTTATTCCCAACCCTCGGGCCCCTGAAATTCACAATATTTATCCTCCTTCACCCATAGATGATTTATGTCAAAATTGGTTCAGGGGTTTTAGAATAGAAGCTGAAAATGTTCAAATGTTAACACAGGACGGACGACGCACGTCGCACGATGACGGACGAAAACAAATAGCAACTGGTCACCTGAATGACTCTTATGACCTAAATAGACCATGCAACTATATATTTATTGTATGTGTGACTAGATTACTGTAAACGTAGAATAAATTACCGCACTCAAAAATTTAACACAATCGCCATCTTCACCTGACTAGAACAATCATAAATTAGCGCACTAGAGACTTAACAACGGCGTGTATTAGTTTTTATCATATATTAGCATTGACATAAATTAGCGGATATGAGGCAGCCCAAAAGGTAGAATACGATTACCGCTAAAAATTCAACACAGAAAGGTGAGACTAAGTGCTAAGTACGTGCATGACTGTATAGTATCAGCTACCGTGCATGTAATGACACAGTGTGCAGTGCTCATACTATTGCATGTCTAATAACATAATCCTTTTGAATAAATCAAATCATCGCAAATATGTGACAATTCTTTATTATGTATAAAGACAGTTTATGAATGAAACATGGAGATGACGAACAGTATTCAAGCTCAAAGACTATTAAACAATACAAATCGGGAGCAGAGCAAACACGGACCTCCCAAAACATAGGTGGGATCAGGTGCCATGGAGGAGTGAGCATCCCCTGCCGACCGGTCACACCCGCCGTGTGCTCCTTGTCATGATCGGGTAAAAACCGAGAAAATCCGTCGACAATTCAGTGTTAAATAATGGCCTAACAATTAGTATGAAAAGCGTTAGTCAGCATATGACTTAATGATAATTTGTATTTGTGGACAAGGGCATTGTATCGACCATAGAACTTACAAAATGAAGACTTTAAACAGGACTGTGGATATTCGTGTTTCATCAACTTGTTTGTCAATAACTTGTCTCGTTTTAGAAATAATTGTTCATAAGTAGAGCATGCTCTTGCGAATCGAATCAACTATGAGATATACACCCCATATGCAGGTGATAAGGGTGTATTGCTGTATAAGTAAGGAAGCTGACGATTGAAAAGTTGAAGTCATCACGTTTATCATAAAGCTTTGTTGATAGATTACCATTAATGGCTGTGCATTTACGAGCAGACACGTACCAGGTATTTGATCTTTTTAATGCTAACAGAACAGAACATCTTTTATGTTTTACCATTTAGGGGCCCTCAAGGGGTAGAATGTGTGTTGCATACATGTAAAAAGAAAGAATATTGATAATGATAGAGGAGTACATAAAAAAAGTTAAAAAAACATGAAATATTTTAAAACACAATATACTGAGTCAAGTTACAAGATATTTATTTTGCTGTTGTATTTTAAAGTAGATGTATCTTCAGAACATAATTAATGTAAAAAATTTTGTTCATCATTAAGTACAGCGAATTTAGGTAATTACTATACTTTCCACTACAAATTTAGACTATACTTTCCTCTACAAATTTAGTCGCCTGGGTGGCGCAGTGGTTAGAGCATCTGCTCTAGAGTCGCGAAGTAAGGAGTTGATCCTTACGTCGCGGGTTCGAATCCCACTGTGGGACGTGGAGACCGGTCCTTCGGATATAAACCGAAGTCCCATGTCGCAGTAGGTGCTGGCACGAAAAAGATCTCTCACTGCTCAATGGCCGTAAGTGCCTAGTATAGGACAAAATTTGCAGCTCTCCACCTGCAAGTGGTGGCGTCTCCATATGAGTGAAAAATTCTCGAGAGGGACGTTAAACAAAATACAATCAATCAATCTACAAATTTAAAAAAGAAGTTTTTCTGTCCTTAATAAAAATTTTAATTCAGTTTTTAAAAAAAAAAAATGGATCTCATCTATTACAACAGAATTGCATTTGTTACAGATTCGTTCATTCCGAGGAATGCATAAAGTATTTTAAAAATGCGGCGATAAAGCAAACTCACAATGAGCGTTTACTCCGTTAATCTGAGTATTTTAAGTTGGAAACAAATGCTACAGTTTAAACTCTCTAAGGCGTACAATGTATATATCTGAAAAACATTGGCTATTTTTTATTGTTCTAAAAACAAAAAAGTTAAGATAAATGTAAAAATTTCGAACCAAAATCAAAGTGTTTCGGTATCAATAGTAAAAACTATATACCATTGTGTGAATTAAAAAAAAAATATGTGATAAGGAAAATGGCACTCATCATCTGGCGTTTGCCTTTTTTGACATCCCCACCCCCACCCCGCCTCATCATGATAAAATAAAAATATCATCATGCAATGTAACCAACTACATGTTAAAGAAATGTAACTGTACATGTTTGTAATCCTTTAATAATGGTCAAATTTTGCTGTAAATTACATATACACACCTTGTAATATGTACTGTAGTTTGATTTGTCAGCATCTATGAAAATCAAATCAAATTCCATCTTTTTATCAGAGAGTTCCTTCAAAGAATCTTTCGCAGGACCTGTTGCAAAAGAATTATTTATTATAAATATAATGAATTATTATTTTAAGCATTAATGCTATTTTAAATTTTAAAACATACCTTGGAATTAATTGAAACTCGTCTGTAATAAGTTTCAGTTTTAAAACAAATTATTCAGCGCGATAGTGCATATGTTTACTTAAGCATTGGTTTGTTGAATCACTTAACACCCCTTCCCCTTAATTAATATTTGTCCAAGCAAGTATGTTAACTAAGCTGGTTCCTTTGGACATCGATGAATTGAGGTAGAATACTGTGAATCACTTTCAAAATGGTAGTGTAATAGCATGGAACCTAATGCTTTCAGTGTAGTATATATAGTTTGTACCAAGCATAATATCCACTTTCTTTCCAACAGATGATTTTTCCAATAGTGATCTTGCAAGTTCAGCTATGTATGGTTCCATTTCGCAGGACACAACTTTCCCGCCATCCGGAAGTGCTTCTGCAAATGCCAAGGCCGAGCATCCGGTAAAAAGTCCCAGCTCCAGAACCCGACTAACGTTCCCAATACTCACCAGCGATTTTAAAAACTGGGCTGAAAAATAAAACCAACAACGAAAAACGCTTACTTAATTCTTTGCTATCTTATTCATACGAGAAGCACTCTTGGTTTCCAAGCCTACCCATCAGCGTATATGTATGTGTTTGCACGGATCTAAGGTGAACAAGATATACTGAAAGCGCATGCGTGCTTTGTTAATGTACATACCCTAAATCAATCTTTGTGTACTTTTGTATTTGACTATTTTATGCGTGACCTTAGAGTAAATTCTAACATTTCTCAAATTTCGCCATTAGTAAATAATTATGTTGTGTATATTCTATGATATAATATACATGCAGACATCGTGAATATTAAATTTTATATAAATACCTTCTAAATTCCCGGAAAGCATTATTGTATTTGGTTGGTATGACAGCTGACCTTGGAGGTAAGCATTCTTCCAGGGATGGCTTTGTGTGCTGTCCATTAAATGGTGAAGCTCCTCACTTGCTGTTGAAGTGTGGGTTTCACAATAGTTCATGCGTATCTGTACAGCGAAAAATATAAAATGATGTATCATAGTCTTAATTACTTTCCTATACATTTTTAAAACGAAATATTTTGTAAAGGCTAACCCAGTGCGATACATATATATGACTTTTTTTTATCCTTTGCACAGACACGCATAGATACCTTTGCCTGAATACTGAAAGATTATTTCCTTCTTTAAATTTTGTTTTAGTTTTCATTTTTTCGTTTTTTTTTTCTTTTTAGTTTCTTTGCTTTTATTTAATAATTTATTTCTGAAACTTAAAAAAGTTTTGTTTAATTGGTTTTTTTTTTTATTTTGTTGGCTCACCTGAGCTGAAAGCTCAAGCTCAGGTGAGCTTTTCTAAATGTCCTTGAGCGGCGTCTGTACAATATCTATGCTCAAATCATGGCCCCGGGGGATAATATTTTTCAATAAAATATTTGTGAAAAAGAACCTCTGAACCAGAAAAAGATGAAACTAAATTATGTAAAACTTGATGTTGTGTAGAATAGACCAGGATAGGGGATCAAAGTCTTAAATTTGAATACATCGGAAAACTTTTAGTAATATTCTCAAGAACTACCTCTGTGTTCGCAGGTGAATGATAGGGGAAACATATATAAAAAAAATCTTAAGAGCCACTGGACCAGAAGAGATGAAACTTACGTGAAAACTTCCAAAGAAAGTGCAGATTCACAGATGCTCAAACCATGGGGTATAGTGTGGAACCACAATATGGGAATATGTGATAGATTTTACATTGGAATATATATGAAAAAAAAAAATAATTAAAAATCTTTGCAAGAACCACAGAATCTGAAAAAATTAAACTAAATTATGTTCATCTTGATGTGTAGATTCTAAGTTGTTCAATTCATGGTCACGAGGGTAGGATGGGACGGGAATAGGTGATCAAAGTTTTAAATTTGAATATACTAAGTATATCGGAAAAAACTTTTAGTAATCTTCTCAAGAGCCACTGGACCTGTCAAGATGAATGTGTGAAAGCTTCCTGAGATAATGTACATGTAGATTCGTGATTGTTCAAATTATGTTAGCAGGGGTAGGGTGGCACGCGATAGGGGATCAAAGTTTTACCTGGAAATATACTGGAAGAAATCTTTAAAAATCTAGATCTTCTCAAGAACAATAAGCAGCATATGTGAAAGCTTCCTGACATCATATTGATTCTAAGTTGCTCCGATCAAGGCACCGGGGCCGGGGTAGGCCACGGCCACAATAGTGGATCAAAGTTTTACATTGGATTATGTGAAAAATCCTCTCAAGAACTACAAAAGAACCATTATTTTGCTAACATTTCCATGTTGTATGGATTCAATTTTTCCTTCAAATGGTAGACCGTGGGTTAGAGTTGGATAAAATTTTACATAATGCATGTATAAGGGAATTTTTTTTCTCTGTAACTGAAAGGCCATATTTAGACGTAATCATATTTAGGCATGCCCATGGTGTGTGGATTTATAGTCTCATTAGAGTTAAGCAATAATGTGGTGTTATAATTTTCCATCGGAACATTAAGGAGAAAAAAAATCGTTTAATAATCCTAAACAGCAGGGTTTAAGTTTCTCGGGTGAGCTTTATGGCTCACGAGCTTCTTTTTCTTGTTTTAATTTGTTTTGTTTCGTTCTTTTTAAAGCACAACAAAGTTATTCTGACGAACTTAAAAGTTTAAAATCAACCTCTAGTTTTTACAACAAAAATTTAATAGAAAACATTTTCTTGTCACGTTCGTATTCATTGACTAACCTCGAATAATTGGATAATCTTATCGATCTCCGCTGTCAGTTCAGATGAAACCTTTTCACTTTTCGCCATGCCCCGTAATTTCACTAAATGTCTGTATGCTGGGTCCATATACATATTTCTGTATCCCCCAGTCTCCATTTCTTTTTTATCTGTGGATAATTTTCTTGTGGAGTGGTGTTTATGGAAAAATCCAAATCGTTTGATATTCAGTTATTGTACGCACAAAGACGGGAGTGTTTTTTTCCCCCCGATAACCAATCGATTTTCCGGACTACAAATGTTCTGTTTTATGTTCTCAATATCTAAAGCGCTGACATTTAAATTACTCTGCGCTACAAAGAAATATTATGCTCGGTAGTTCTTATAATTATCGTTCATTTACCCATTATTCTCAAAACAAAATTTGTAAATTATATTATCGACTTTCCACTTGATTTATGCACTGAAAACAATCATCATGTTACATAATCTAAACAATAATCTACTGCAAAGGAATTACACTTGGCGGTATATTTTATTTAGCGCCTTTGGTAGAAGGCAGCTTGTGTTAAAGTAAATACGTCGCTAAATGTCTTGTATGTATACACATGTATTTATCTATTTATATCTAGCACGTTTAGAAAGAGCTAAATCAAACGCTAGCTTACTTAAAATCATTTTATGCTAAATATCGTACATGCTACATATAATACATTTACAATTAGACTCGTTGCTTATAAATCACCAATTCAATTTAGATCCTTAAACATGCTACACTACACTATTTGTACGGTACGGTTTGTTTCGCTTCTTGCACGACGCGTTTCGTGTTTTGTTTTTTATTTTTTATTTTTTATTTTTTTTTGTTTTTTGAACGGTACGGTTCTTTTTGTGAACAGTACGTTTCATTTTTCAAAATGAATTGAATAAGTAAGTTTTTAACGTATAGCAAAGAAACGAAAAAAAAAAATTAAAAAAAATTTTATTCACGGTCGCCATATCGACCTTTCTGTATTATTAAAAGCATATATTAGATGTTCTTTCTTTTTTTTTAAAAAAAAAAAAAAAGAGTTTCTTAATCAAAAATGATTATAGTGTTAAATTTTCTCTTATTACACTTGTTAAAAAAATGAATTTAATTTCATTAATTTTCCCCCAAGCTTTTATTTCCTTTGCTATTATTTTTTTTAATTAACTTCTTGTCGCAGTTGCTTCATTTATAAAATAAAAACTCAAAGTTTTCTTGACCGAATGATGAAACATTTGCTATGGAGCCCGGCTAAAATGCTTAAATAAATATTAATTCTGACATCTAGCAAGATTTGTTTAACTACGTGTTTCAAACTGAAAATTTTGCGTAAAATGATTACCATCTTCTTCTTTTTTTTTTTTTTTTTTTTTTTTAATTTTTTAACATGTGATAGTATGATTACAGGCTATGGAAACATTTAGGGTTCGTCAGAATAGTGTAAACCAACATAAATTATGATAAATTTACATTGCCTTTATTGTATTATTCTTTGTCAGTTTTCAAATTGACAATTTTTTTTTCGGGGGGGGGGGGGATTCTGAAATCATTTTCCCCCTTATACTAATAAGTGCTTAGTCTAGTACATGAATAAAAATTAATTTTATAAGGGTTTGGAAATATTGGACATTTTAATAAGGAAAAAAAGCACAGGATTCTAATATATATATATATATATATATATATATATATATATATATATATATATATATATATATATATATATATATATATTAATGTGTCTCGGTTCATTGAGACAACAGTAGGGTGGATGAAAGCTATAGACGTTATCAAAGCATTATGTTTACATTTCTTTATTACAGATTGTACAGGAAAATATCACAATAGAGCTTTTTATAGAAAAAGGATTTTGTCACACATTTTTTGTTTTATTAAAAGTTGTCGTTTCATTACCAGACCCTGAGCAATACACTTTTGAGTAACAATTAAGTAGACTTTCAAGCGATTAAACGTATGAATAACAAAAAAAATTGTTCAAAAAAATCTCGTGAAGAGATAAGTAGCAAAACAATTCTGTATTACGTGTATAATAGTAACAGTTGTAGTATACTGATGATAAGATTAGCAGCTGAGCCCAGCTTATGGTTATATTTTGGTCATAATATCCAGTGAAGGTAAATAACCATCCACATTATGAAGCGATCTTTGCTGGTGTTTCGTGTTTGTCTGTCTGTGTTCCCCTCCTTCTGGTGCCTTTATCCTCCTGATCGTGTCCTCCTGGTGTTTGCATGTCCTCCTTCCTCCTGATTAGCAGAAGTCCGTCTCGTATGGGCAACAAAACCTCCAAACATAAGGTACACTTTATTCATTGTTAAAAAGTAAAGCTTTAGGAAAAGACTTTGAAAAAACGCTGCATCTTTGATATTAAAAAGGGAATTTTGATAGCGGGTTGATAAAAAGGGTACTGAATAATTATCACAATTTAATTACTAGATGCTGTCATGAGACAGTAATACCCGCACTAAGGTGTTTGCCTCTAAATGCACACTCCTTCATACTGGGCTTACCAAGGAAGAAGTCCAAATAATTCTATAATATACACAGTACATGTATTCGTCAAATCGAGCATAAAATGCTCAGGTGACCATGTGACCCATGAACCTCTTATACGCATTTCATATACTTAATTCATTACCAGTCTGAAATAACAGAATTTAATTAATGATGTAAATTAGGTTTTGATAAAAGGGGGGGGGATATAAATTTTTGGCCCATAATTGGAACTTTTTAAAATTTATTTTCTCAACCAAAAATATTATTATTCTAGTACAAAGCGTTTTTGATGAATTTATCAAAATGTGCAAACTTTTTTTTAGTATTTGATTAGGCAAAAACCTCCTTGAAAAGCCATACCCAATCAATTTTGTCACCCCCCCCCCCCCAACACACACACACAATATGCCTGTTTTTGGAATTAGGCCTAGATGGCAAAGTTATGTTAAAACATCGTTTGTTATGATAATTTCAAATTTGTTCTTGTACTGTACATGTATGTGAACACCTTTTTGAAAATTTCTACGTCACATTGGGCTTGCGTCACCCTACCAGTGCTAGTACTAGGCGCCTAGTTTTACCATTATCATTTTTAGATTGCACATGCCATGTGACATGGTGCAGTGTTGCATGTATATCAGTGGAAATTAATTCATTTTGTGTTTTAATTGGATTATATTTCATGAAGTTGACAGGACCTATGACAGTCGGTAAGTACAAGTTTAAGTATAGATTGGGGTAAAATAAACCGAAATGCAAATGGTTAGGTTAAAGTTTAACGACGTTGGATCCTGATATTTAAAGTCTTTAACTTTTTTTGTCAAGTATATTTTTAGCTTCTACACACATAGCTTAATTAAAAATCAAAACAAAAAATGGGGGTCAATATGCTTCTTTTGGCGCTACAGTACATTTAATATGACCTTTTTGCACTGAATTTGTGTCTTAATCAAAAATAACATCTTCGACGTTTTCCCTCCAATATTTTTTATCCAAATAAATCATGGGACAAAGTATGCTATTATTCTTTCTTAAAAAAGACACAGTAAAATTGTGACCAAAAAAAATATTTCAAATTGCTTTGCATAATCAATTATTTGACCTTTCTGCACTCACAAAATGTCATTTTTCGGGCATTAAAAATTTAACAAGCAAGAAAAATATTTTAAAGTCTTAAACTTTTGCTGAATTTAAGTAGATTGATCAGAGTTATCTTATATATTCAGAAAAGAAAATCAAAAGTGGAGGTCTATGATGTTATTTTTTAGATATTACTAAAAAACTGTTAATTTTATGATAAAATTGGCTCAATTTTTTCCTGGAGTTTCAGAAAATATTTTCTATATTTGTCACAATATGATGATAGAATTCACAAAAAACTGATTTAATTAATATTTTAGAACCAGCATTAAACATTTCAATGCACAAAATAGCTCTGTGTGCAACCAGCATGGAAAAATAGGAATCTAAACTTAACAGTACTGTATATATTTAAAAAGGGAAAAAATGATCATTTTCTTCTTAAAAACCTTCCGCCACAAAATATAGTTCCTGGCTTAATCCTATTTGAATGGAATTTAATTGCAGTTTTTTCATTGGATATAGTATAATTTGCATTGTAGAATCCAGATTTAATGTTAGAACTTAAAAATAATGCAGAATTTTAGAAATAAAGCTCAAGACCAAAATCTGCTCAAAAGCTCAGGATCGAACGTCCTTAAAAAGGATCAAAGATCATCGGCAATCTCCTATGCAGAGTTGTCGTTCGTTTCTCTCACAGACACTGAATGTATGAGCCGATGGTAGAGAGTGGATCATCGGATGCCACAATAGACGAATTTCACATTCTGAAGAGTTATCTCCCGTTGTCGACATTACATTCAGTTACAGGCACAGATCCGGGAATTTTTTTCCGGGGGGGGGGTCCACACCTCAGTCCAAAAAAATTCCAGCCCAGAATTTCCTGAGGAGCAAAAAAAACAAACAAACAAACAAACAAACAAAATAAAAACAATGATGGTGGGGTCCATGTTTTTAAAGGGGGAGGGCATCCAAAGTCAATTTTTATTTGCTTCTGTAAATCAGTATATAGTCCTATTTAAATAACTCTGCAAATTCCAGGGGGGGGGGGGGGTGTTCCAATCTCCCTAGCCGCTCCCTGTCCCTAAAATGACAAATGATCATGTGACTCCTAAATAATAGAAGACTTTTCCATTTGACTATACATAATTTTGTTTCTTGTGTTATTATGTTTTGTACATCTAATGGTTTAAGGTTATGAACCCCTGGAGGTCATCCCCACTCTCTTAATGAACTGGAAATGTTCATAATATGACTACATCAAATTAAATAAAAGTGCATCAATGATAAGATTACTTGAAATTTCATTCATGAATTTGGGTCAACCCATGTACCCTCCTAGAATTAGGAATGAAAATCATTCAAAGAGATGGACCATTAAACTATTTGTATATATTTACATTTTTTTTATGTCAAACCAAAGTATTAGACTAGTTTGCATACATGAACAAACAGGGGTCTGGGAAGGGGAAGGGGCAAGGGGAAGGAGTTATCTCTTTACGTCTTAATTGTTGAAAACTCCTAAAATGAATGTTAACCTCAAATCCGACTTGTACGTCTTCATTATTTTTAAGTGGTGGTGTCTCCGTATGAGTGAAAAATTCCCAAGAGGGACATTTAACAACAAACAAACATTAATGACTTAAAAAACACAATATACATGTACATGTTTATTAGTCAAGGGATATACTTCTGATCATATCTCTAGTTCTCCCTTGAATCAGAAATGATGATATAAATATTTTAAGAATGATTAAGAGTTGAAAAGATTGTGCATTTTAAAATTCACTAAGCTCTGTGGTTGAATTAGCTATACCAGTTTAGCTTATTTTGCTACTCAAAGCACCTTGATTAACTATTTTTAATCATACTGTTTTCTGAAATGTGAAGTTTTTTCAACATGGATACAAGTCATACCTTTTCAGCTTCTGAAAACAATGCATGAAAAAAAAAACTGCTTTTCAAATACTGTAACTCTTTCCAAGTACTTGTGATCATCAGTTTTTAGCTCACTTGAGTTTTTCTGGTTTTCTGATCACATTTTGTTTGTCATCCATCTGTCCGCCTGTAAACTTTTCACATTTTTGTCTTCTTCACTAGAACCGCTGGGCCAATTTCAACCAACCCTGCCACAAAGCATCTTCAGGTAAAGGGGATTCAATTTTGTTCAAGTGAAGGGTCACACCCTCTTTCAAGGGGGGATAATCAAGAATTAGTGAAAATTTGGTGGTATCATTTTAAAAAAGTCTTATCAAGAACCACTGACTGGGCCCAAAAAGTTGAAACTTTCTTTACATAGACTTAGTGTAGCTTCAAATTTGTTAAAACTATGACCCACTGGGGTAGGGTGGGGCCACATATGGGGATCCAATGATTTACATAGAAAAATGCAGGGGATTTTTTCCATCATAAATCTTCTTCTCATGAACAGCAAGGGCATTATTGTCGTCCGTTTTCACAAAAGGGACCTAGGGGACATTAAATCTCATTTGTCTGTCAGTCTGTCTGTTTGTTAGTCTGTCCGTCTGTCACAATAAATTTAACCTTGGTCATAACTTCTGAATAATAAGAGAAAGGGCTTTCATATTTCACATGTACATTAATTACCTACAAGAACTTTCTAAACATACCATGATTTTTGAACCCATGACCTTGACCTTGAAGTTTGACCTACTTTTCAAAAAATTTAACATTATTTTAAATGATCATTTTGAAAGAGAAAAGATAGAGCGTTCATATTATACATGTATATTACCTGTGACAAGACCTTTCTTAATATATCATGACTTTTGACTCTGTGACATTGACCTTGAAGTTTAACCTACTTTTCAAAAATGTTATATTTCCTTATAACTTTTGAATGAGAAGAGATAGGACTTTTATATTTGACATGTACATTACCTGTAACAAGATGTTTCCAAGCATGCTATGATTTTTTTACCCCTTGACCTTGATGTTTTACCTAATTTTCAAAAATTTTAACTTTGGTGATTACTTTTGAATGACATATGATAAGGCCTGCATATTTGAAACAATATGTCATAAATAATGGCATCCCATCCACTAGGACACGGAAAGCAGGGGGCCACAATTCTTTGAATTTGTTTGTTAGGCATTTTGATATGGAAACATCCTCATATAGTGTAGATTCAAGTTTTTTATGCCCTGCCATGAATATGGCCGAGGCATATAGTGTTTGTCATGTCCGACTTCAATAAAACGTCATATGCTGATACATACTGATGTAAGCTTTTCAACTGCATCAAAATTTTTGACCTTGACTTTTCCTTTGACCTTGACCTTACTTTTCTTAAATAAGTGTCTAGATCAGTTTTGAATAAACAATTCAAGATACAATTATCAAACTTCATATGCTGATATATACTGCTGAGAGATATCAATTGCATCAACTTTTTTGACCTTGACTTTTCCTTTGACCTTGACCTCACTTTTTTAAATTAGTGTTTATCTACGTTTTAAATAAACCATTTCTGATATTTTTATTGAACTTCTATGCTAATAGTAAATACATACTGATATAAGCTTTTCAACTGCATCAGCATTTTGACCTCAACCTTTCCTTTGACCTTGACCTCTCTTTTCTCAAATAAGTGTTAAGCTCAGTTTTAAATAAATCATTCAAGATATTTTTATCAAACCTAATATGCTGATATGTATTAGTGAGAGCTATTCAACTGCAGCAAAAACTTTTCACCTTGCACTTTCCTGTGACATTGACCTCCCTTCTCTTTAATTTGTATTTTGCTTAGTTTTAAAGAAACAATCTAAGATATTTTTATGTAAGCATGCACTTATACATAATTTTGTGAGAATTTATCATCTATATCCATTTTTTTTTTTTACATTTTAGTATCAATTTTAAAGAAACTGTTCAAGATATTCTCATCAAACTTCATACACTCATACAAATTTTCATATTGCATTAGTAATATACATTCAGCGGGGCATTTATGTCCTATGGACATATTTCTAGTTTTCAAATCATGACCTCCGAGGATAGGGTCAGGCCACAATAAGGGATCAAAGTTTTATAGAGATTTAAAAGGAAAAAAAATCTTCAAAATTCTTCTTTTTAAGAACAAAAAAAAACATGATTAATATGGAAACATTCCCAAGAAGTGTAGATTCAAGCTTGTACAAATCATGACCCCATGGGTTAAGGAGGGGCCATTTTTTTCCTGCCCCTATTTGCTATCCACATGGAAATGCAAATTTTAAAACCATTTTACACATCCACAGGACAAAATCAATCATCTTCCAAATGAACATGATTTAAGGCTAGTGCTTAAAATATAAGGGAAGTTCTGGGAACCAGGATGTTTAAACATATTTTTTAAAAAAAAATTTGACCCCCATTTGACCCCCAGGGGGAAAATAAGAATTCTGAAACCTTACTGCACATCTATAGGACACCACCAAACATCTCCCAAAAGATGATTAGGCTACTGTGTAAAATGTAAGAGGAGTTCTGGGAACCAGGGGCTTTTTGCCTAAAAAACGTCATTTTTCGACCCTCATTTGACCCCCAGGTTGAAAATGAAAATTCCGAAACCTTACTGCACATCTACATTACACCACCAACCATCTCCCAAAAGATGATTAGGCTACTGTGTAAAATGTAAGAGGAGTTCAGGGAACCAGAGGCTTTTTGCATAAAAAACGTCATTTTTCGACCCCCATTTGACCCCCAGGGTGAAAATGAAAATTCCGAAATCTTACTGCACATCTACATGACACCACCAACCATCTCCCAAAAGATGATTAGGCTACTGTGTAAAATGTAAGAGGAGTTTGAGAAATAAGAGTGTGACAGACGGACGGACGGACGGACGGACAGACATGAGTAACAACAATATTCCCGAACTTTCTTTAGAAAGTGCGGGTATAATAAAGTATTTGAGTGGCACTGTAAAAATATCACAGGCCAAAATACTGTAAAGGATCGGGCTAATTTAATACTGCAGAAATAACACGTGTCAAAATATTTTAAGGTATTCAGCTAATTTTCCTATTGAAAATAATATCAAAGAAATATTATATAGAACTGTGTTAATTTAACTACATTTATTTCTAAATACATCACATTTTATTCAAAATAATTAAAAGAACTTGACTAAACTAATTTTTTCTGGTTGAAATACTGTAAAAAAAAAAACTGGGCCTATTTTTAAAATAACTGATTCTATTTAACTTAACAAAGAACTGTGGGTAATTAATTGTTGCTAACAATATCACAGGAATTTAGACCATTTTATCAGCATTGTTTACTGCTTTCGTAAATTATCATCAGGTATAGTGAATAAAAAATACTCATGATCAAAAGTGGGTTTCAGAAGATGCCTACCTGATAAAACTTAAATTGAAATTAGCATTAAATATTTATAAATTATCCCTTGCAAATTAAGAAACATAAAATCATCACATGCAGTTAGTGTGCAGTACAATAACTGAGCACATTTTTATACCTGGTGGACTCTATCATCCTGTTTGACCATTTCATTAAACTGACCAATACCATGGTCTCTCCCCATGTAGTCCTCGTTCGAGTAAGGATCCCCAAAGAAAAGAGCATTGTCCACTAGTATGGTTCCATTTTTAGCCAGAAGCCCGTATTCAAAAATCATCTGCAAGGATCAGTGCTTATGGAGTCGCAGATCGATATATATATATATATATATATATATATATATATATATATATAAATCTATCTGTACCAATAGCGGCAAACGAAATCGTCTGTGTGTGCCAATAGAGGCAAACGGATCATAGGTGCAAAATTTCGTTTGCCGCTAATGGTCTGCTTGATTTTTAAATCTCAACTAACTCTTTATTCTAACGAGTAGCAACCTGATATTTATACCAAAAGAAAGAACAATCTTTTGCCGTTTCATTGAGTACCATTAAAATATTATAATTTAATAATAACATATTATTTGAACGATGTTTATGAGGGTACCCATTTCCGTCGTATATATCGATGTCGTCTGCATGTGCCAATAGAGGCAAACTGCTGTTTTTCGTCGTTTTCTTTCTTAAATTTGATATATATGAAAGAGATCTTCTCAGTGTTTATGTAAAAACGCAATATCTCACAGCAATAAAATTATCAGCACTATATATATCTAGAAATCAAAAGAAATCGTTGCTTTTATAAATCCTGGTGCTCAATTTTCTTCGTCGCTTGTATATATGAGATGTACGCATGCCCGACCTAGATCAGAGGAAAAGTAATGGCGATTGGAAATATACTTAGTACTGCTTCGTTTCTTATAATCTCCAGGTACTAAGAAAGACATTGGTATTTTGTGTACAATTATGTGTACAAATATTTCATAAGCATTATCGTGGGAGTTTTCCCTGGGTTGGAAATATTCACTCTTTCTGGAACACAAGGAAATTCATACATGTACTTTTGCCTACTGGACGAATCTTCAGTTTGTTTTCTTTCAAATTAGAAAAATGGAGAGGAATTTATTGATATTCAATTTGTGAACAACAAAGTGATTGTTTGCCCGATCTCCGTTTATTTTCATAGTGCTCGCCATTAACAAAAACAGGTTTGCAAAATGTGGAGAATGGAAAGTTATCTCAGGCAAGCAAGTTGTATTTAGGTAATATCAAAAGATATCTGTCAATTGATTTTGTATATTTGAATTTTATACTTAAGTTAAGCAAAATGCGATGTTACATCTTCAGCAAATACGATGGGTTGTCATTTAAACCTAGAGAAATAAAAAGCAACTAACAAACAAAACAAATCAAAACAAAAAAAAAAAATTTGGGTGATCAGAGTATTGAAATTAAGATAAATTCCTTCAGTTAATTTTGTCCGAGAAAACACCGAAATAAATCTGTCATGTTCAACAGATGTTCCAATGCAAATTTATGTATAAATTTACTGAGGTAATGGCAATGACTAGAATACTTTATTTATAAAGTTGGAGTACATTTAATTCAACTTTTTTAAAAATCTAACATAGTTATATGTAGTGAATTGTCTTAAAAATCATACATTAAAATAAATGGTTGAGTAAATGTAGAAATATGACGTTTATTGTCTATAAAAATACTAATTTAATTTTTTATTTTTTAAATAAATAAATAAATATAATTGTAATAATGTTATTGTGAATAAGAACTGTATTTTTTAAAGAATATACTGAATAAAAATAAATAAGATGAGATTAAGGGATTTATTCATGAGCAGGGTAATTTCTTACAAAAGTCCAGATAGCTTAATTGGTAAAGCAACCATTAATCACTAATGGAACATCCAGGTTCAAGTCCTGGTCTGGATCTAGATTTAGGGAAAATATCACCTGCTCTATCTATATACATTAAGTTCTGGGTATATAAAATTATTGCAGCAAAAAAAAAAAAAAAAAAAAAAAATCTCACTTCTAAGAAATTTCTACAAAATTTTTGTTGACTACAACAAAATAATTAATCGTACATATCATCATATTATAGTGCATTTCTTTCAGTTCAAAAATAATTTCCTGTCTAATTTTCATTCTCTATTTATTTATTTATTTATTTATTCATTTATTATTATTATTATTTTTGTTGTTGAAAATACAGAGATTAATATGATTTGTCAATTATATTTTTTAACTATTAATTTCTGAAATTATAAAGCAAATTCAACTTGTAAAAGATACTTAATACATGTATGCTAACGGCGATAAGATTTTTTTTTTTATATTTCTAGTCCATACATTGTAATGAAATGTTACATCTACAGACAATCATGCTGACCATCTTGCAGAAGAATCAATCTCTGTTCAATAATTTTATGTTGTCAGTTATAACAAATAATTATATAGGCACATTGGCATGATTTGACAAGTGCATCAAATTAAATTTAATAAAGATCATAGAAATTGATGCATTCCATCAAGTTAGAAAATTTTCCAGTTTTTCAACTTTGACCTACAAAAGGTATTAGCTGATTACCTCTCTTTGACTGAACAAGTTGCTAGTGTTTTGTTTACATTGCATTCCAGAGCACGAACCTAATGACCTCTTCCAAGTTACTTCCTCTTTGACTGCGTACAAATCATGTACATGGAAGAAATACTGGCTATGCTTTTTTTTCAATCGTTCGGTTAATAAATCGAGAACATTGGGGTTTCTAATAGCCTGCTTGTAAGGAGATACGATTTCTACATTACATACATAGTTTATTATTTCGTACGCAGCCTTAAGAATATTATAATACTTACTTATAAATGCAAGAACAGGTGCTCCCCTACATGTGATTATTACAATGATACAGTGTATTATCTTTCATAATAATTGATGGACTTTACTTGGCACTGTCCATTAAGTTAGACGAAAGGAAACTAGTTTTTGAATTAACAACTGTAATTGTAGGAGTCATCAAGTCACTGATTTATATCGATGAGTATGAACAATAACTTTGTTCAGTCTTATTTATAAGATGTATTAAATGCATATAAAAACTGATGGAAAAATATTTTAATTTCGTTGAATACGGGTAATCTTCAATGTAAACAACAAAAACAAATCACAACAACAACAAATGTGAAATGAGGAACAAGTGAGGGATAAAAGATATTTTGTAAACAAAAGCAGACATGTAAAGATCCTCTAACTCCAGATAAAATAATGTCAGAAACTTTGTCAAGCAGAAGTCCAATTTTAGGATGAGACATTATTGCAAAGTAGAGAAGAAATGTTAAACAGAAAAGGATATTTAGTTTTCAATATAGTGTGTAAAATTTGGAAATAAAATTCATGGGATTGGCTAAAATTGAAGATATATCAGTCACAAATGTATTATTGCATGTTTGTGAGCATTTGGATTATGCTAGAGTTGAAATTTATTAAAGTAAATCCCAGAATAATTTTGATGATGTACATTGATTATTGAATGTTAAGTGTCATCTTCATCACTTTGCCAATGCCAAGTAAGGGTGCATCAAAGATTTCATGAAATCCTGATGAAATTCTAAAGAAACCTGAAAATGTTCAATCAAATTGGACTTAGTTTTTTTCACCCAAATTCCCTTGTGCACATGAGCACAAGCTAATTGGTTTGAAACAGGGAATAAGTGATTGTATTTTCTATATACATTGATTGAGTGATGCAAAACTAATACAAATCCAATTGCCTGAAAATGATTTATTTTGTGCATGAAGACCAATTAGGGAATTTTTAGATGTAAATTTGTGACAGAATATGAGAAATTGATGATCCACTCTTATTATTAGGGAAAAATCAGGGACTTTATCACTTTAAAATCATCCTATTCATTTCATAGGCATAAGATTTTCATGCATTTTGGGAATGATTTGAAATCCACTAGGTGTGCAGGCTTTAAGAAGGGAAATGGCAGCTATTTACTTGTTATCGCAATGTGACATATGATGTTGGATGATATATTTTGATGATGTACAGTGATTATTGAATGTTTAGTGTCATCTTCATCACTTTGCCAATGCCAAGTAAGGGTGCATCAAAGATTTCATGAAATCCTGATGAAATTCTAAAGAAACCTGAAAATGTTCAATCAAATTGGACTTAGTTTTTTTCACCCAAATTCCCTTGTGCACATGAGCACAAGCTAATTGGTTTGAAACAGGGAATAAGTGATTGTATTTTCTATATACATTGATTGAGTGATGCAAAACTTACAAATCCAATTGCCTGAAAATGATTTATTTTGTGCATGAAGACCAATTAGGGAATTTTTAGATGTAAATTTGCGACAGAATATGAGAAATTGATGATCCACTCTTATTATTAGGGAAAAATCAGGGACTTTATCACTTTAAAATCATCATATTCATTTCATAGGCATAAGATTTTCATGCATTTTGGGAATGATTTGAAATCCACCAGGTGTGCAGGCTTTAAGAAGGGAAATGGCAGCTATTTACTTGTTATCGCAATGTGACATATGATGTTGGATGATATATTTTGATGATGTACAGTGATTATTGAATGTTTAGTGTCATCTTCATCACTTTGCCAATGCCAAGTAAGGGTGCATCAAAGATTTCATGAAATCCTGATGTAATTCTAAAGAAACCTGAAAATGTTCAATCAAATTGGACTTAGTTTTTTTTCACCCAAATTCCCTTGTGCACATGAGCACAAGCTAATTGGTTTGAAACAGGGAATAAGTGATTGTATTTTCTATATACATTGATTGAGTGATGCAAAACCTACAAATTCAATTGCCTGAAAATGATTTATTTTGTGCATGAAGACCAATTAGGGAATTTTTAGATGTAAATTTGTGACAGAATATGAGAAATTGATGATCCACTCTTATTATTAGGGAAAAATCAGGGACTTTATCACTTTAAAATCATCATATTCATTTCATAGGCATAAGATTTTCATGCATTTTGGGAATGATTTGAAATCCACTAGGTGTGCAGGCTTTAAGAAGGGAAATGGCAGCTATTTACTTGTTATCGCAATGTGACATATGATGTTGGATGATATATTTTGATGATGTACAGTGATTATTGAATGTTTAGTGTCATCTTCATCACTTTGCCAATGCCAAGTAAGGGTGCATCAAAGATTTCATGAAATCCTTCTGAAATTCTAAAGAAACCTGAAAATGTTCAATCAAATTGGACTTAG